CCTATCCCCCTGTGTGCCTTTGCTCCCACGACTATAAGGTTGAAACCTTATAATGTTGAAATAAGATGCATCTCAAAAATCCTATAGAAGAGAGTGTTACCACATTGGAGATCCATCAAATTAATCATCTCAATCTCAAGATGTGTGGATATGAAGAAAAAAAAGAATTTCAAGTCCTAAACATAATGTATATTGTAACAAGTTATCTGGACCATCTATTTTCAAGATTTTCAATAAGTTTACAAGAAATTAAAAATTTCATAACTAGGGATAAAAATAGATTTTCAAGCCATCATAAGCTTACATCTCCAAGAAACTTTTAGAGCTTGTACCTTAGTTCTACAGTAAAAGGAGGGCGTGCCTTATACAAACCCCATGCCTTTTTCTATGGTTAACCACTCATGAAATCCAATGGCAAAAATGCTCACCCTGATTTTCTGAAATGTCGATGGTATGATTGTATTAAAACTTTAAAACTTGTAGAGCGGAAGATTATGTAAACGATATGAACAAGTGACACATCTTTGGTGAAGGGCACCGTGGCCCACAAAACCACTCTTCACTAGAAGAGTTAACCACCATGTTGAATAGGAAAGGGGGATAGCAAATTCCGTTGTACCAAGACCCTCAAACTTTTAAAAAGTTCGTTTAGACTGAATCATATTCCATAAAGAAACCATAAAGAAATGTGCCCAAAGCAAATCAAAATCAATACCATCTCGCACCATCTCTCATTATAAAACAAAAGATTCAAGTCCACAAAGTTACAAGCTTTCTCAAGATATACTTTTTAAATTTTAGAATCCAACAATCAGAAACAACACTAGCTTCCTATTCCCTGACATAAGGATGAGCAACACAACTTGATACAAATTTCTCCCAAGACTTTGGCAGAACCTTGTAATAACACCAATAAACAAAGTGCATAATATGAAAATCATCCACACCTTATCTCTCCTTGTTGTGAGGCAAAGACTTCAGAACATTATTGGACATGTAACATCCCAAATAAGTTCAATTTTCCCTCATGTGTTAACGTGATCAATGTAAGACATTAGCCAAGAGATGCAAATTCCGAAATAGTTAAGTGCCCCTGGGGGTAACAATGGAGAAACAATGTGGGATCTTTAGCTAACACAGGCTAAGTGTATATTCTACTACAAATGGTTTTGAGTGATAAGAAGTAAATAACAGTTTTATAGCCACAAGACTCTGGCTCCATCAGTGTTTTAAGATGCAGGGAGTGTAGGACTCGGCCTAGTTACATGGACCCAGCAGGGTGCCAAGTCAAAGTGAAAACCTCGGGAACCGGCCAAGTCTCACCAGTTCCCAAGGTTTTAGTGTTTTTCTTTCCCCAAAGACTCAGCAGAGTCAGATCCACTAACTCAAACTCGGGCCATTCCCAGTTCAAGGCTCGAATCCCAATTTAAAACACTGAGCCCTATTGAATAACTCTGGTGGCAATTCAATATCTCCCATCACCTCTTTCCTTAGAATCATAGAATGTAAGGCATAATCTTCAAACGAGGTTCTGTAGTTTAGCCTTTAAAACTAAGATTTCCTCATTCAAGTATTTGTAATCTTCTTTCCCACTTTGGACATTATCCATGTAGCAACCATAACAGATTTTGGAACATTAGAGATTGTGGCAATTTTCCCCACACATAAGCGCATGCAACAATAAGAATACTAACTATGCCAATACATGGTAATGTGAGCATGAAAAACTCAAGAGTTGTAACCACACAGATATAACACAGCTCATGAGAGAAAATATTACACGATGCATATAGTAAGTAGCACCCATTGTTTTAACATGTCACCGCATAATGCATTTTGCAGCCTAGAGCGACAGCATATGAGGAAAAATGTGATGCGCCTGCATATGCAGGCATCACCAGCATATGTGGCCAAATTGAAATTTCTTTAGGTTGCTTTATAAGTTTTTTATTTCCTAATAATTTTTTTTTCTTTCCGGTTGGGGGGGGGGGGGTGCAACGTCTTCATCATCTTCAAGTAACAAGAATCTGGCATGGAAATATTCTTGAAACATTATGAACTCAAAAACCATACGGATTGGACTTGTGCTATTTGCACTCTATGTGGGAATACTCATACAGGGGGGGGGGGTATTTTCCAGCAAAAGGAACACCTAGCTAGTATTACCAAGAATGTTAAAGCATGCCCACAAGCAACCGATGAGATTGGAAGAAAGATTAGGGCATACATAGATAGCCAAGAAAAAGCAAAAGAAAAGAAGAAAATGAGATAAGAGGAATTAATAGAAAAAATTCAAGTATTTGATGACTTGTCTCGTTGAGAGTTTGATTATCTTTTTCTTTTATATGTCATAAACCTTTCATCTTTACCTCTTTGAAGTTTAAACTTGAGCTTGGAATTTTGGATATTTCAATATGAGATGGAGTGGATTGCTTTGCTTTACATGTTCATTATGCTACACATTTCAGCAATTAAAGGTTAGAAGTTAGAACAACCAACTCTATTACTCATTATCAGGCGATTAGGGAACTTAAAGTCTGGCACAACTTATGTATTATAGACATTGAATAAGTTAAAACACCTACTATCACGTAAATTGATTTTATATTTTTTACTATGCATTATTATATTCTTTGTATTTTTTGAAATTTTGTAAATTTATTGACCGCATTAGAGGTAATGTACCCGCATTGGCACCGCATCGAGCCACATCAGACCCCGATCGCATTGGGTCCACATCCCGCATTTTAAAACATTTCTAGCAACATTTACATTAGAAGAAGAGCGACGCCTTATTTTCTATCATATATTAGGTTTAGATGTAGTGAAAAAAAATTTAATGTAGCGAAAAAAGTCTGAGTACAGCCATTGGATTGGCTGGCTCGTGTTCTTTTTTCTTTTCGTTCAGTGATAATTGACATGGCATTCCAAAAATAGTGAACCATAATCAAGCCAGGCACACTCAACAGTCATTACACGAAAGAAATAACATTAATCAGGTTGCAATATAATAATGCACAAGTAAATGCATACAAATCTGAAGAGGACACCCTTTCTTATAGAAATGGAAAATAGAGCAAAAAACCGAAAAAGCAAGCAAATTTCACAACGACCATCGATTCAACTCCAAAATAAACATCATAAATAAGCGTTCTCAGAATTCCTAAGAAAGAATCAAACCCAAATCAAAAGGTTTAGCTCAATTTTCCCAAAAACAATATCAACTTCTTCGTTTCTTTCTTTGACATTAAGCAAGTCGTAGAAGACAATAAGAAAAGAACGTACTTGTTTCCACCATCTTCACTGACTTGGTTACCAAACTGAATGTGACGACCTGCATAAAGCCCTCTCTTAGCTCGACCCATGACCACTTTATTATCAGGGAGATATTTCTTCAGAGACTCCTTCACACCAGGAGCAAAGTTCTCATCCCCAATTTTCTTAACCAGTTTTTTGTATAACTCTCTTGCTCTAAAAGCCATGATCAATGGTCGAAATAGGAAGGAAACGGATATGAAAAGAAATGAAATATAGGGTTCCGTCTGAAACTAGGGTGTTATGGGAACCATGGAAGCTCCAAGTTTTAGAGCCCTATAAATTAGGGTTTCTAAAGAAAGAAGGGCGTCAATGAAGATGGAGGATTGATTCTATCGTTCGATGTATTTGCAGATGGGCAACGGAGCAACCGGAACCCTAGGTCAAAGACAAAGTAAAATCTAGAGCGAACAAGTGCTCTGCAGAAGGGATAGAGAACGTGCTCCTGGTTATATGGATCCTTCTTCCAATTCGACTCTCTTACCATCTCTCTTCCTCTTTTCGAGTGAGAGAAGGAGAGTGAGGAGATCAATAACGAATTATAATTGGTTGAAGGAAACAGTTTATATAACGATGCAATCTTATAATGTAGAACTACGGATGCCCCTCAAATATCCATCAGAAAAAAAAAGTAGCTTTAATGTTGAAAAATCCGAAAAAAAAAAAAGGTAGCTTTAATGTTGAAAAAACCTTTGATTGATCACTTCAACATCGACCTGCATGACTATCAACAATAAAAAGATTTTAAGTGTAAAAAATAGTGTATTTTACAATGTATTATTATTTTTAAGATTTTTATATATTATAGATCTACTTGAGTTTAACTATTTTTAAAATTTAAAATTTTATAATTAGATATAAAAATAGATTTTGATATAATCCTTATAACATTTTACATCAAAATTATATACCATCATAAAATTTGAAGGTGCACCTTACCTCTACACCTACGGATGCATCCGTATGCAAATTGCACCCTTGGTTGAAATTTAGAGGGATACCCTTTCATAAGGAAATCGTTCATATAAGAATTAAAGATGCACCTCAAAAATCTTCAAAAAAGGTTGTTTTAATGTTGAAAAATCTTTTAATTGATCATCTCGACATCGAGATGTATGAATATATTAAAAAAAAAAAGAATTCGACTCCTAAAAATAACGCATCTTTGCAACACATTATCTAGACTGTACATTTTCAAGATTTTCATATGTTTATAGATCTACTTGATTTTAACCATTTTTAGAGTTTACAATTTTATAATTAAATTTTAAAATAGATTTTGAGATAGTCTTAAAAATATTTTACATCAAAATTACATGTTATGATAAATTTTGGAGGCGTGCTTTAATTAAAATTTTAAAAGTTGCAATCTTATAGAAACCACATCCTTTTCCATAAAGGAAAATGGTTTGATAGGGCAACTGCCCTATCAAAATAAGTAAAACGTCACCTTAATTCATCGCAAATTACAAGAGTTAAAAAACCTTTAAATCGACCATCTCGGCTTAAACAATATGGTTGTAAAAAAAATTGAATTTCAAATTTAAAAATAGTGTATATTACAAGAAATCATCTAAACCCTCAATTTTGCCCTAAAAAAAGGTGTTCATAGATCCATAAGATTTATATCATCTTTTTAGTTTCAAATTTTATTGTCGGTGCTGAAAATTGATTTTAGAGCCATGATAGAAATTTCTAACGCCGAAAGTATTTTCGAGATGAGGATTTGAGGCGAGGCTTTATTTTATTAGAAAAATTACAAATAACTCCCCATACTTACAATACAAGTTACCCCAGCCAAACTTTTTTCTCACTTTTTCCCCTCAAAATACACTTTTATCGCAAATATCCCTCCAACCCCAACAAAAGTCTAAACTACCCTCCTTTACTTTTACCCATACACGTCTCTTCTCTTTCCCATAAAAAGGCAGTCCAGTGTATTCTTAGGGCGGTCCGACAGTATAATGTTGGTCCGGTAAATAACAGTGATGATCTGGCAGTACAAGTTAATGGGACAAAAAGGGTTTTGGCTATTAGAGAGGCAGTCTGACACTCATTTTTTTGGAATAAGGTGCCCGGTAATTCAAAGTTCGGTCTGGCATTAATGCAAGGGTCCAACAATTGCTACTCGGGTTTGACAGTGCACGTCAAATCAAGCCAAAATGAATTTTTACATAAAGGAATGGCATTTTAGTCTATAAATAAATAAACTTTTTGACTTAGGGGGGTATTTACTAGAAAAAGGTATTCTGGATAAAAAAAAAAAAAATGGTTGAGAGTAATTGCATAGAAAATCCATCCTTGACATCTTCGAAGTTATTTGTAATTTTCTTTATTTTATTTTCATAAAGCGTAGGCCTTATAGAAACTTCATATCTACATAAATAAATGGGTAATTGAATCGATGATAATGTGGGAGTATATAGATTAATTTTTCTTTTTGCTTTGTGCTAGTAATAAGCCTAGGTCTTATAGAAACATGCCACATCACAATGTCTTTGATTTCATCTAGCATTGTGATTAAGTTCCAGGGCATTCTTTAGTCTCATTTGTACCATTGAATAACATTGAAGAAATAACATTCCAATACTAGTAGTGGGATCCTGAAAGCTCGAGACGACCCTTTCTAGGCATGTGTGGGGTGGTGGCAACCGGGCCCAGCCTAAGCTGGGTTGCCAGACTGTCCCTGAGAGGGCCGAAGAAGCCCTAGCTCAACCCTGACCCTATCAGGGCCAAGCTGGTTGGGCTGTGTTGGGCCAAAGTCAACAAATACCATTCTGTTGAACACCGAGCTGGCCCTACCGCCGACATGGCCAAGTTCGCTCGGTGGACCTTATATCTTGGAGGATTGAGGACTCAAAATTTGCAAATCCATTATCAGGAGCCCCAAGACGAAGATTCAAAAAATAAATTCGAGACCTTAAAAATGTTCCATCTTGAATATCATCTCCACAAATGATGTGTCATTCACTTCAAATACTCTTAAGAAGACTCATATTCATATCATTTTAAAATTTCCGTTATATTTTCGGACCTCCCTATTAATTTTTTCGGGTAGAAATGAATTTGTTCGGTTTTGAAATATTTTTGAGTCCTCAATCTATAAAAAAAAAAAAAATTGAATTCTAAAGTGGAGGGCTTGATGTCGTTTGCCAGAGGAGAAACCTCATGATAACACTACCTTTAAGAAAAGGCTCTAGCGGAGAAAAAAAGTTGCAATAAAGTTTTGATTAATCGCCACCATTTTCAAATATATTTTTTAAAAAATATACAAATACACTTTTGATACAAAATCATAATTACTCTTCTCCGTCAAATTTCATATTTACCTTTATAAAATGAAGAATGATCCTGTGTATTTCAATGCCCAGGATTCCCATGGTTTTAGTTGCTGATGACGTTATAATTGTTTGTTGCACCTTGGAAACAACTGCATTGTAAAACCTTGGAAGTTTGAACATAGACATTCCCTATCTTTTTTTTGTTGTCTTTTTTTTAAAAAAAAAACTTTTATAGGCCGTTGATGAAGCTGCTATAACTTAGAAGACCATGAATATTATATTTGAGAATTTTCTATTTTCTACTGTGTAATTAGAGGAGTAACCATATCAACCTGTTAGGCACCCAAGCTAAAACAAATATGTTGAAATAAACAAATATTTACTAAATATTCAATTTTTATTTTGAAAAATGGTTTGATCGCTCCAACCCTATCAAAATAAGTATAGCATCACCTCATAACTACTCATTTTAAATGGCTATTCAAGTTTTGAAAAACCTTTACATTGAAAAAAAAATTAAGATTTTAAACTCTAAAAATAATATATATTGCAACAAATTATCTAAACTATCCCTTTCACCCTAAAAATAAGTGTTTATAGATTTGCAAGATCAATACCATTTGTTGAGTTTCAAATTTTATTGTCGAGATTGGAAATTGATTTTAGAACCATCATAGAGATTCAGGCTTTATTTTATTTTAAAAAAGCCTAGGCCTTATAAAAACTTCATCCTTTTTTTTCTTATTTCTTTTTCACACATTCAACTACTAGATGTAGTTCGTGCCTATCCGTTTGACAGAAGTCACAAAAGACCTGTCTTGTACAGTTCTCAACCATCCATCAAGAATTACCGGTGCAAATAGTATGAGGACATACCGCAATAGAGAACGTATACAATAAGATCGTTTACTTTTAGTACAAAAGAGTCATAATTACCCCCAAACGTTATATGTGAAATCTGGAAATTTTCTTCCTCCTCTCATCTATTTCTTCCATGAAAAAAATTGCTGTATCACCTGTGAATGTTAAAAGAAAAAAAAGGAAACAAGAGAACTCAGGGATCATTTAAACAAGAAACCATGCACGACCTGGGAAAACCTAGGATATTGAAAATCGAAATACCATCACTGTAAAGAGCCTTTTCTTCCTCCTCGTAGCTATTTTAAACTCATAGAACGTCTTCTGGTAAAAAATAATTCAGTTTCGTTACTCATCAACTGTACAATCTGAAGAAACATTCTCAACCTTTGATGTGGGGATAGCGAGTCTAAGCAATTGTTTACGAGTGAAAACCCCCACTGGCTTTGAATCCGAACTGTAACTCTTTTCATGTACATCAGTAGATTTTACTATTACAATTAATTTTTGTTGCTTTTCAAGGAGAACATCAATGGCTCGACCGATAGATGTTGAGACTGGCACACATGGAGGTGGGCCTCGCATCATACTCAAAAGAGGTGCGTTCAGCTGGAAATGATAAGGACGGTGGTCATTTTCTCACTATAGGTTCATGACAACCAACATACATAATTTTCATGTGTGAGAGAGAGTTTTAAATCCCAGGTCCGTAAATTAGAATCCTGCTGTCACATCTATTCATACATATATGTTGGGATTTACCCAATTCCATCAACATTCATTGAGCATTTAGATCCATAAAAGTAAGAGCTACCAAGTAAAAAGCTCGTAAAACTTGGGAAACAATAAGTATAGTTCTGCGACCTCGTTGAAATCAGAAAGGGACTGATTTAAGAAGTATCTGTCAAGAAAAATTAAGAGAACAAAAAGAGGAATACAGAGTTGAATGCTCTTATTATTTATTATACATTTTTAGAAGAACAAAGAGATAGCAAATAGTAACATCAATAAATAAAGGGTGACGTTTGTACAGAGCCTAGGCTCTAAACAATCAAACTAGAGCCTACCTTCAAATTGTGTCAAGAAATGTAGTTTCAATACTGAAAATCTTTTCGATAGCCTTAAAATATATTTTCATCTTTATTTATACAGTTTAAAGTTCCAAAAATAGTGTATATCCCGAAAATCTTTAAAATTGACGGTCCAAAAATGCGTTACAAAATACACTACTTCCAAAACTTGAAATCCAATTTTTTCTCATATCGTGCATCTTGATGTCGAGATAATCAATTTGAAGATAATTAGGCATCAAAACAACCTCTTCTGGTGAAATTTTTGAGGTAGGCTCGAATTTGATTGTTTAGAGGCTCGGCTCTATATAAACTTTTCCCATAAATAAATCGTCATCGTCATAGTCTTTTCCCAACTAATTGGGGCCAGCTAAACAAATCCTGATCCGGCATTCTGCTTTATTAAAGGTCATACCCTCAATGAGTCCATAAATCCACATATCTTTTCTCACTACTTCTAATCATGTCCTCCTATCTCTTGCCCTTTTTGAGCCTTCTACTTGAACTAACTCACACCTCTTAATAGATATTGTACTAGGTTTGCGCCACACATGGCCAGTCCACCTAAGTCTACTCTCTCTCTTATCACCTATTGGTGCCACACCTAAAATTTTCCAAATGAATTCATTTCGAATTTTATCCTTTCTTGTCTTGTCACTCATCCATCTCAACATCCGCATCTTTTCTACACTCATTCTATGGGTATATTGTTTTTTGACCACCCAACATTCCGCCCTATAGAGCAAAGCTGGTCTCACAGCTGTCCTATAGGACTTCCCTTCTGCTTTATTAGAATGCGGCGTTCATATAAAATTCCGGTTGCACATCTCCCCTTCACCCACCTAGCTCTAATTTTATATACGACATCTTTCTCAATCTCTCTATTTTCCTGGATTATCGACCCAAGATATAGAAAGTGTGCTCTTTTGGATCATCAACAGATAAATGATACTACAAAATCAGCCACATATTTTAAGGGTCAAATCAATTATATCATCAACCACTCCAAAGGATCAAAGCAATCTCCATTCCTCCTCCCTAGATCTATTTCTTCATGATTTTTTCAATTTTATCTTGCTTAGCCTTATTTTACATTTTTTTTCTTTCCACTAGAGTAACAGTTCTTCAGTGATCAATAGCGAAATTTTACAATGTGCCATTTATTTAAGCTGAGAAATGCGAGACAAAAAATTTGCATCTTTCAAATATTACAAATGCAAAACATAAGAGTTGATTGTGATGAAACTAAATTTTACTAGCCACAGAAAGGCAGTTGGCAATTAGTTGTAGTTGGTGAATGTTTCCCTACTCCAGTTAAGCTCCAATCATCTACACACAGGCTTGGGCGTATCATTCAATAGCCCATTAAAATAAGCCATACTTTCCCTTAAATAATTTCTCATAATTCACTGTGGTTTTTAACATAACATAGCATAATGAGTAAGTAGCTCTCAGATGACAAGGAGAGGTACCTCAGTGCAGTCCTCACAATGTAAGACCCCAACACAGTTGCCCCAGTTATCCTTGATAGGAACAACATCATCCGAAAAGAAACGCATTACAACTTTGTTCAGGTTCACACTTGCAGGTAATGGATTTGCCTCTTTAAATGGGATCATAATCTTCTCAATTGGATCACTAAGAGATACCTAAACAAGAAGGCCATTGTAAGAAAATTTCCAGAAACCATGAGAGGAATACATACCTACATTATGTGATCATTCCGACCACCTACAAGACATTGCCAACCCATCAAAAAACACTAAAGGATTTATTTTACTGAAAAAGAGTTTTTTAAAACTTATGAAATTCTTAGATCCAAATCAATCCCCCCTCAAGATTGTGTCTGAACCATCTATTTGACGAATGATAGAAAGACTGTTTTAAGAGCTTGAGTGCATTTTCTTTTGTCCTTATTGGCAATTGTTCACCAGTGAATCAGAGATAATAGAAACAGTCAGGTAAAAAAAAGATCCCTCCATTTTTTGGGGGGGCTAGCCACTTAATTAGGTGGAAGGGCTCGACCGCACCATCGGCCCAAACTCCTAACAAGGGGGACTTTTTGACCTCAAACAATTGAGAGACACATTGAATAAAAATCGATGTTCAATACCTGTGGAAGGAGATACGGACTAAACATAAAGTTGTTGAATCTAGACCTGGCCTCAAGACGGACAACAACCTGCCATGTCAAAGTTACAAGCATTTCAGTAATGAGTTGAAACATAAATCCAAGAGTATGACAAAGTCTGACAATTTCCATCAGAGATTTAAATCAAAGAACTAATTGTCAAACAAGAACCAGAGAAATAAACTACACCAAAAACAAAATCTAAGACATTCTTTTGATACCATTCGCCCTCGATTGCTCCAAGATATATATTTCCACTTCTTACTTATGTCCCCAAGAATATTCCTTGCTAAATCCACCTGTTGAAGCACCGAAACATACCAACCTTTTGAATCACGAATTTCGCAATAAGTCAACAATATAAAACATGTGATGCAACAACAGCAAACTGGTACCAAGAGAACTTTGCTAGATATTTTGATGTTTGCAGAATACATCTAAAGAGGTGAGAAATAGAGTGCTAAATATTTTGATGTTCTGCAGAATACATCTAAATAGGTGAGAAATAGAGTGCTACCAAGCCATTATTAATGGCTGCTTCCATTAGAAGCTCGACTGCTTCCACTTGAACTGCAGGAGAAATACAACCAACAGAATCTGGAAGCATACGTAAATGCAGTTTCTCAACCATCCTAAAGTCTCCATTTTGTGCAAAAGCTCGCATCAGTGCAAGGAAGACATGGGGCTTCGGCCGTAGGTTCAGATATTCCCCTGATTTCTTCAAAATTTCTCCAAATATGCAAAGAGCTCCTACAAGATGGTACATTCAATAAAATTACAACTAACAATTGATATAATAAACATCTTATATAGTGAGAAGAATGAGAAATTCCAACTCAATTCCAAATGAGATTCAAACTGTTCACAAAATCTCCATATTTTTTGCAGAATTCACATGATGCATGTCTGGAACAAAAACACCAGAGAATTTCTCAAAAAACAAAAAACATCAGAGAATGAAAAGCTGTTAAGATTTCATTCAATTTGAATGCCTCGAATGCTTAGCCCTCAAGTCCTTGAAACTATGATTGTATTGCAGACTATTGCACTAAACAGAAAAACAAATTTCCAATGCACTGATATCAAAATCATGCAAAAGATTCATTACATCAATGACAACTAAAGAGTATACACTTAGCCTCTATTTTTCAGATTTGTTCTCACTTTCTCCTTCTCTGTCTTGTCTTTTTGGAATTGGTAGATGCACAAAAGAAAATAAAATACAAACTATCCAAAAAAATGTGACGAGAACTCCCACCTAAGATTACATACCCATTGTTGCATCACATTCTAGAAGTGCATCAAGCATTGCTGTATAGGCAACTCGATCAATAAACATATCTGGCATTTCTTTCATTTCAACCACGATTCGCAGCACTGAACATGGGTCTCTGGTATTCCCAAAACCCTAGAAATGAGAACTCTTTTATTCCTTTATAAGATAATCAATGCTACAGTGTACATCATAACAACATTCTCTTCAGGAAGAGATTGTAAAACATGGAGTTGATCTCCAGCAAAAAAGGAAAAGAAAAAGGAAAATGAGATAACCCATAAAATCAAGACAGTTATGACAAAAATTAAAACAAAAATCACCACAAACAAAATGAGCATGATCCATGCCAACAAAAATAATTCCTCAACTAGCACTAATTTTTATAGGCATGCTCAGAAAATCACCAAGAAAAGTAAGATAACTAGTATGGAATGAATATTATGCTACATATGGTGATAATATGAAGGAATTTCATAACATTCTGTTAGCTATTAGTAATAGCAAAATACAATATGCCAGAACCATGAAAAATAATGCTGGTATTATTGTATTTTCCACCTTGGTTGCTTGTTACTCTCCATTGACTAATCTATGGTAGATAGTCAATGGTGATCAGTGGAAAAATACACTTATATGAAGCTTGGCCCAGAAATGCAGATCCTTCCATTCAACTATATTGTCTAAAGGCCATCACATCAATACTGCTGGTCTGCAACAAACTAAAATTACCAATGCAATACAAGGCCAAAAGAAATGAATAACTAGCAACCTAAGGTTAATGTTTCAACAGAAAATTTCACACATAATATAGCAGTATATATTTCTAACTCATTATATGCATGAGTGTTAAGGACCAGACCAGATCAGCTGGGACGACCAGTTAGATTTGTCAAATACTGGTCTAAATCCCCTCACAAGACCATGATCCAAGATTACAATTCACCCTTAAGCCTATCATCACCAAAAATTAAAAGGAATATCCGGATTGCAATCTTCCCAAGGATGCTTTTACTTCCTTATTAGAAATCACACATTTCTTCCACCTCAGAATCCCCGAAACAAAGATTACTAAGAAAGCAAAAACAACATCTGGTATTTTCCTCCAACAAAAATTTGACCACTACAGACACATAAAGGAAAGGATTCCCTCAATGTTCCAGAGAAATCTGACAATGATTTTTACAGCTCTCCTCATCAGGCTGGCAAAAGGAAGATAGTTTTGTTCTTATTTTTGGGCCCAACTATTTTGGGAATCAAAGGTGGGCTTTTCATAAATAACTGTTCAAGCCAATCCTGTTTCGTTTTTAATAAACAAAAGCCTCCATTTTGTAATTAGTTTATGAGGTTATTTATGGTTTGTCCTTAATCAATGAGAGTTTCCTTATAGGTACACATTCTAACATGGAACAAATGTGCAAACACAAGGATGAAATAAGAGTCGTGGAAAAAATTGAAGGGCCAGTGGGCCACAACTAACCCTAAGAAGGTGGTTTAATTGTCCCATGTAACAGCATTACACTAAAGGATCATAAACCGAAGGTGTGAGGGACAAGTTACTTTGAGTAAGGTTGTATAAGTGACCACATCAGGAAAAAGCTCAGGATCACCATTCCTTTGTGCCTTTTCCTGCAATAAATAGCATGACAATTTTGCATCACCATCGTAACAAAATAATTTCTAGTACCAGAAGCATCTAATTTCAATGATATTCAATATATCAAATGTTTTCTTAATACCTTCATTTCTCTAAAAAGGCGCATTGCAATGTCCATTTCTCCAGACTTCACACATGCCAGTAGCAGTGTATTATAAGTAAGCCTGTCAGGTTTCAACCCTTCACGAAGCATCTCATCATACACAGAAAGAGCATCCAAAGGCTTCTCCGAGTTTGTATATCCCTACAAAGAAAGAAATAAATTTTTCATAAATCACAGTAATAAACTCCCAGATATCATGTTACATAATAAATGCATAAGGTAGGCATCAAAAAAATGTGAAGACACATTCTAAGTATTCACAAATTATAGAATATATTCAACAACTTTAGACAAAATTAAACACTCTTTAAGAGATGGAAAGCATAACATGGTTCCCTGTGCAGTGAACAGAAAAGGCCATGAACCTTGATCAGTAGATTATACGTTAGGATTGAGGGACCCCTCTCATGAAGGAAAGATCGATAGCGTGCAAGAAGACCCTTGGCACGGCGTAAATCTCCTGCACTAAATGAAGCCCCAGTCAAGTATATCTTAAAATATTGTCTCCTTTTTTCTTAAAGTTCAGTTTTGACAAAATTGGTATTATATATTTTAGTGACCAAATGGGCAGCATCTCGGCATAGGTTTCAATAGCTTGCAATAAATAAATAAAAAACAAATGAAGGACTGCACTTTAAAAATTGGTTACCATCCAGTGAAACAAATTCAAGCAACTGCTATATACAATGCACAACAGTTACACACATAGAGTACACAAGTGCAAGCATGCTATAAGTTGATAGAAATATTTACCAGCATCAAGTAAAGTATTTAATAAAGCATAAACAAGTGGAGGAGACATCTTCAGATTTCCAACAGCAGAACCATCTTCCACAGATTCAAGCATTTGAAATGCCTCATCAAATCTTCGAGCCTCCCCTAAACCCTTCACAAAATTAATATTAGAGGACTGACCATATTGGAATATAAGACGGAGCACTTCAAGAAACTAAAGCCTTATATATGTAACATTTTGATAAGAGAGATGTAAGGAAAACAACAGTAAGGCACAAACACAAACAATAAAAGAATTTGTAAGTTCCCTATTTAAGTCAGAAGAATCAAATTATCAAGACAGAGATTTTAGCAAAGGTAGTTGCTTAAGAATGAAATGAAGTACATCGTAACAAGAAAACCAATGTGAAGTCATAGGTAGAAATATACCAAAGAATGAAAACCCAAATCAATTAATCCTCATATAAACATGACGAAGAGAAAACCTTTTTCTGAAGTTAAATACTTTGTATTCTTAACAGACAGAATATCAATGTCAATAGAACGGTGATAGTCAATATTCTCTCAGGAGGGAGAAGAAATCAAATATATTTCTTTTTAAAGTATTATCCCCAGGAAGTCCATATCTATAACATAATTCATACTATGTCCAATAATTTCCATGACAATCAAGTAACAACATATGAAAGACAATATATGTTAAAAGAAAACCACCCATAAAAAAAATGTAAACAAAATGGGAAAAAGGATATAAATCAAGCCAAAAAATGGCCAAAAAAATGACCAAAAAGATGGCTAAAAGACTAGAAATAAATCAAACAAAACTACCTTCAGGAGGGTTGTGAACGTGATGTAATCAACTCCACATCCACCAGGTCTCGACATCTCGAGAAAAACCCTAATCGCTAAATCCACATCTCCACAATGAACACAAGCCTCCATAACAGCATTCATGGTTATTGTGTTCAGTTCCCCATATTGCCTCTTTGCACTTGCCACCTCTTCGAACACCTAAAATTCAATAAGAAGGTAAAAGTTTGCTACAAAAAGTGATCAAACAAGTAAGATACTCCAAGAGAAATACAGCAAAGTCAGAAAAAAGATTTATCTAAAAGGAGAAAAGCTCTCTTGGGAATGGGGCTGGGGTCGTGCTGGTAGTCCCACCTGAGCCCCAGTTAAACGTCATAACCTCCATTTTCACTAATGGATTAAAAAATTCACTATTTCAAAAACAGGTTGGGGCTCGTCATCCCCACTGACTTAACCGAAAAAAAAAAGGAAAAGCTATCTTTTAGGGAAAAATAAAAAATAAACCAAGGAAAAGAGAATTGGGGATTACAAGAGGGGTGAAAGACTACAAACTCGTAAAATGGATATAGCAAAAAATTCGAAGTGATCAAATAAAACAGAAATTCGAGAAAACATCAGCAAAAAGTTAAGAGTCATCAAATAAATCAGAAATTGAAGACTAAGTCAAATTCAGATACGTGATCACTAAAACAAAGGAGACGATTTTTCAATCACAAATAAAGAAAAAGACAAAAATTTCTTAAATAGAATATATTATCAAATATACAAGAAACTCAAGAACAAAATAAAGTTCAGAAAAATGATGGATAGAAATACAGAAATTGTCAATTTTAAATTTTAAATTTTAAATAGAAAGAAAGAAAGAATCCATATTATAAAAGTGTGAAACAGTTAATTCACAAAAATGAGATCTCACAAAATTAAATACTACCAGATAAACAAGAAATTCAGGAAGAAAATTAAGCTCTGGTAACCTGATGAAGCTGTCTCCTTCTCGTAAGCTCCACGATTCTGCATGTTAAGTTCCTGAGATTGAACTTCGAAGGATCACGAAAATCAGGGTTTCTTCTCCGAGAGATGAAAGGAGCAGAGCAGAGAATTTTAGGGCCTAGAGAAAGAGAATTAGGATTTCGAAATGGAACCAGGGGTAGGTTATAGAGAATTAGGGCTTCTTGTATGGGTAACATCCTCATTGGCCCATTATCAAAACACAGCCACCACTGGGAGTGGATATGCGAGGGAGCGGGAAGCAAACGCTTCGATACGTCGGACGACGAATTTGTAAATGTTTTAGCCAAATGATTTCATGCTCCTACGGGATCATAGTGTTCATTTCTCCCAAGGGCAAAAATTTCACGAGTAATGATCCCGTAGGACCTTCCCCCACCCATGTACCACCCATATATGTAGGCACTCCAAAAGATCACCTTTAAAATGTGGTATGGATGTCGGATTTGACTTTTTTATAGATCCATGCCAAATTTTACTATTGATCCATTGAGATCCTACACACATGGATGAGGGAAGATCCTATATTATCATTTGTCTATGTTGAGGACCAAAGTTTGGATGTATTCTTTATAATCTAAATACCCAAAAAAACAAAAAAAAATTCAAAAACAAAAATAACGTCTCAAAGTGTATGCTCTGATAAAAATATCTACGAGCTCAAAATCTAGTTTTTTTTTTTTCTAAAAATCTAATGATATATAAGTGTATCTCAAATTTTTAAATCTAGAAGATCTTCCCAAGCACATTTTTTGAGCCAATAGACATTTTGCTCGTGCCGGACATATTTGCTCAAATTTTTAAAGTAGTATATTTAATCCCTTTGGTTCAAAAGGAAATACTAGTATTATTAAATTCACTTCGCTTCAGTCAAAGAGGTCACAGCTTTCGATTTTTAGGCTTAGACCGAAGCGAAACAAAGCTTGGTATTGCCACTCTGATCAGATTCAGGCTACTTAGGGCCGCCTTGGTCAAATTCAAACCTGCTTTGGGCAGATTCAACTGAAGCTTTAGCCTCTTGGGTCCAAGCAAACGAATATCTATATAATATATAGGCCAGTTTGGATGTCAAAGAAAAAAAATATTCAAAACGAAAAAAAAATGCAAATGTTTCCATCTCAATTGAAAAACATTGTCATCTTATTGTATTATCTTGGTAGGCTGTTTGGACTTCTAATTTCATTGATTTATCAAAAAACCTTTTACCCATCTTGGTTCCCTATCAACCATACCCCATCTTCGCGACCAGAAAAGGACCCAAATCCGTTATTATAACTTCCGGCAAAATCTCGCCATTTTCACGCAAAAAATCGTCGGAATTCAAAGATCATGAGAGAGAGACTTGCAACATGGAAGTGTGTCCACCATCTGAGAAGCTTTGATCGAGAAGCATCGAAAAGCTCTGATAGAGAAGCATCGAAAAGCCCCTCTAAAAAGAGGAACTCGTATCCAAACAGTTTCTCTCTCTACAATCCATTCTTTCTAAAAACCCTAAGTTAATGGTTGTCTCTCTCAATAATATCTTCTACAAGGCCCTAGTCTTTTTTTTTTGATAATGTTTACTTTGACAAGGCCATAACTTTCTATGCAATAACCATGTACTGGAGAGTTTCTCCATCTGCAATCCACTTTTTCTCGAACTTTAAATTAATGGATGTCTCTCACCTTCATAACATCTATAAGACGTTGATTTTCTATGTATAAACCCCCCGTATTTCACAATCTCTCTCTACAGACCACTCTTTCTCAAAACCCTAAATTGATGGATATCTCTCACCTCCATAACGCTTTGTATAATACCCTAACTTTTCGTGTAAAATGCATGCATTTCAGAGTCTCTCCCTCTGCAATCCACTTCTCAAAACCGTAAGAGCATCCAACCCTCCATTAAACCCTAATGCGACTAGGGTTCCTGTGGATGTCCAATCTGAAACACTAAGAGCCCTAGAATAGAAATCCGTTTGCTTACAGCTCTCAGCTTTCACCTCCACAACCATGGCTATGAACCTTTCAAAAAATGGTAACGTCCCATCAGGGCAAAACGAGGAAGATGGTGATAAGCGCTTTTAAGAGAGAGAGAAAGAGCGCAGAGCTTTGAGTTTTCTTCTCGCGCATGTGAGAGAGCTGGAGGAAACGAGGGAAAAGCCGGAAGGAGAGGGAAGAGGGGTAGAGAGTGAGAGGCGCAAGAAACGCGACTCCAGCCAAAAAATTCCAAAGTCTAACTTGAAGATGGCAATTTTTGCCTAGATATGTAATTTTTTTTTTTCAATCTAAAAATATGACAAAAATGTGCAGTTGTCTAAACAATCAAAGTCGGTTTAACAAGATTTTTTTGATAAGAATCGCAAAATTATTCCAATTTTAGGTACATCCAAACTAGCCCTAAGTTTTTTATTTTTTACTTTTGAATATTTATTTTTAAGTTTTTCATTATTTTTTATATATTGGTGTTGCTGCTTTGATCGGAATCGAGCTGCTTCAATCAGATTCAGGTATGTTTCGGGTAGATTTGGCTTAAGCTTTGGCCTCTTCGGCCCAAGCAAAAAAATATCTCTATAAAAATATACATATTTTTTAATTTTTTACTTTTTTTTATATCTTTATATATAAAATTTGAATTTATTTATATTTAATAAAAAAATCCAAAATCTACCCCCAAATCGGCTGAAGCACCAAATTAATTTATTTTTCTCACCAAACCGACGACAACATCGGGAAATACTTATGTTTGTTCTCAATTATTAGGTTTCTAGTATTAAGCAGTTTCAGCAAGAGGAGGTTTTGAATAATTTGAATAAGAGAGAGGGTGGAGTGACCAGGTGAGAGTAAAAAACCACACCTTCTCTAATACGGCAATTTTCAATTTTAAAATTTTAAAAATAGACGGTCATCAAGAATATCTATAAACACTTTAAATTTTTTAAAATGAATTCCGTGTTACAAAATGCAATATTTTTAAAGATTAAAATTTTTTTCCTCAATATCCATGCATCAGGTCGAGATGATCAATTGTAGGTTTTTTTAAAAAAAAAAGTCAAAATTATAAGAAACATTATAAATTTATAATATCCTCTTTCATCCCTCTTCTTTTTGTATTTCCATCCTTATCAAATTCAGCTGAGAAAAGGTCTATTAGCCGAGCGAACCATATTGTAGTGCGAGCCACTCTAAACCAAATTTTGCTATCAATATCAAAGAATTTTACTTTGAATTCCCAACAAAAGTGAGGAAAAAATAGGTCTCAGTTGCAATGGACACAGGCCATTCATTTGATGGACAATAGACCTACATATTCTAGAATTCAAAATCACTTTTTTTTAAAAAATAAATAAATTTTTTTATATTTTTTAAATAAAAGATGATACACAGCACTTAAGCCCAAAAAAAATCCTTCTAGCAATGTATCTTAGAGATCTATTATTGAAGTCATTCTCAATGGGTTGATAAAGCAAGCAAGAACATGTAGTTATAATCCCTTTCATTCTTCACCATGGCATTTTACTCTATTACACCAAATGCCTCACTTTAATTTTGAAAAAAACAAAATACACATGGCAAAACAGAGAACGCCGAGCCAAGGATAACAAAACTGACTCATGTGTGGTCTTCCAATTAATAATATTTACATAAGGTACACTCCTTCAAGGACCATCAAAATGGACACTTCAAGGACCATAATATCTTTCTCTACAAGGACGGTAAAATTTCCTTTTTTGGACATATGTTAACAGGGGAGGAATGGAACCCTTGATGTCACGTTGTAGGTCCGCCACCCTGACTACCCAGACCAAGGGCACATCATAAGCCAAACTCATACACAAGCCCCTGGAGGGTAAGAAACATCATCAAATATCTTATCTGAATACTCCTGCAAATAACAACAAAGCCATACAATTATAATGATGATTACAAAAAAAGAGACAAGACGGAATCAAATCATCCCAAATGGATGTGGATGCAAGTAGTAAGACGTGATACGATACTTATAGTCTCACTAAGGGTATAGTCTTTGAAAGAGAAGAATGGCAGAACAAGATTCGTGTAGCATACTCCAAATAGTTGGTATAAAGACCGGATGATGACGATTTTTTTTTTCTTTTCTTTTTCATTTTCATCATGGTATAGATTGTCAAGCCCTAAAATTGTTGGATCCCAAATCCATCTCTAAGATGCATAAATGAAGCTCCATGAAACCTATATACAAATCCTCCTAGCTAGAGTCAACACACGATTGCCCAAAAAAAAAAAAAAACAAACAATCGGTTGAGAAAAACAATTCACTTGCAAGAACACCTCTTCAGAAGAGTATATGACTACCACCTCCCCAGAAGAATATATAACTGCCCGGTAATGTGAAATCCAATGAGACTTTCAGGAACACAAGTGCATATACCATGTAGAGACCCAATTACCCCAGTGTGCATGCATCTATAGATGAACACAGTAAGCACAACACCTTAGACACCAGAAACCTTCGACACCAGAATAGCGTATCACCAAAATGAAATTAAGGTGAAATACCTAATCTAAGTTCAAACACAATGACACACAAGCAAACAATTTATGCAATAACCAGGATCAACTGAAAACAAGGCATCTCACCGGCTGCATCATGCCAAGGAGAACATTGGAAGAATTTCCACCATCAGAAGGGTATAACACACTTTGCAATCTCGACGGCCCAGCAAATTTATTTGTCAAGTCCATATGGTTGCTTTCCATCACTGGATCTCCGGTGCCAGGTTTTGAAAACATTGAAACTCCTTCATTTGGCAGTAATGTAATCTCTCTGTCTAGACTAGCACGGCAGGCACCAAGGTTCGATTGTCCTAAAGGGGGCACAGATTCATGGCTCGGTAAAAAACTATCAATTGACCGAGAAATTATGGCACCACTGTTTTCTTTATGGCTTTCAAATGATTCCTCCGGCAAAAAACCATCATTATCCCTAAAACCACTTAAAAGCATACTGGAGCCTGCTTCTATAAGTGATGAATCGAGACCAATCACAGAAGCACCTGCAGACTGCTGGCTTGGGGCACTACCAATTAACAAAAGCCCACTTTGCATGGAATCGCATGAATCATAGAAAGCAATGTTTTTATCAGAATTCCCTGCATTACAAAAAAAAGTGCTAGTATTTAGCAAGGTCGAGTAGGTTTCTCAACAGTTACATTCTCTAGGCTTAAATATCAAAATAGTAGATTTTGAATTGAAATCTGGTAGCAGTTTCTACTAGGAACAGTTGAAAGTAAATACAAGTAAAAGGAAAAAAAAAATCAGAGATTGAGTCAAACTTTCACTACCAATATGGGTTTTAAAAGAATGTGGGTTGGCAGGTACCAAATAAAAAAAGGAACGTATTGGCATGGAATCACATGTTGGAATACACTTAATAGGTAGTACTATAGAAGGAGAAGAATCACCTTGTAGGCCATCATACTCGACTTGTTGCTGTGCATTTCCCATGAAAGGAGTGGTTAACAAATCTGGAATGCAACAGCTGTTAGATGTAAAAGTGTCACCACTAAAATTACTTATAGAAGCAAGTGGTTGTTGAACATAAACGGTGGAGCCAATAGAAATATTACTATCCCCAAATTCAGGAAGATCTTGCATTTGTTGTAATTTATTTAATTCAATAATTGCCGGAAACCCATTATCATGCTGGTTTATAGGAAATGGTATTCGTTGAGGCCTTCTGATATAACTTCCAAAACTTCTCATATCTTGAGAGCAATTGAATTGAATAATCCGTGAAGGATTAAAACCATCTGTTCCAAAACCTCTGCAGCCGTTAAACCTATCCAAAGAATTTTGTGCATCAAAAGAGATAAGGGCACCATTATGTCTTTTTCCACCAAACCCACCATTCGAATCCAAGGAAAAATAGGATGAACCATGTCCCCTTAATGGGGAATACATATCATATAGGTGGCTCTGAATAGATCCTCTCTTTTTTAAAGACAACCTATACTTCTGCAAAAGAAAGGCCTATTTAGAATTCACTCAGAAAAATACTTCTACAATATACATATATGTGCGTAGTAATATACTCAAGAATTCCAAATATAGTAGCTAATGACACGTGTTGCACAAACCCACAAGAATATAACATATTTTACAATTGATTTCTTTTAAATAGTTTTTATTTTCTGCAATTAATGAAATCCCATGACCCCTAGTATTGGGATAGCATATTTAGTTTATATATTATTGCCCGACTTAAACTTTCTTTCCTTTTATTTTTTGATTGGCGACTATAACTTCTTTTTCTTAATTAAGATTTTGTGATTTTGAGCATAGATCCTAAGTTAGTTTGATATTATACTAAAGTTGTAAACAGTTTTCATTTTCTTATCTTTTTTAACTGTGAATGTGAATAGTCTAAGTGTGAACATTTGGATAAATGAGAAAAATTAACGGGTGTATATTACACATCTTTCCTTTTCATCACAATCATATTCCCAATATTTAAAATTAAGAAGAGAAATGATGTTTTACCCAAGAGCCAGTTCCAAAGCGAATTTGAGGTCATTGCTATAATCAAAAATATTGGATCAACAAATCGCAGCCCAGTTAATACACTTTATTTAAATCATATAGCCAGAAAATCAGCACCAACATATATTATGACTAAAAAATAATTATCATGCAGTACGGTCTAACCTGCAGATGGCTTGCAACGTTTTCCCGAGTTAGCCATGGAACATTCATAAGGTCCAGTATCTTCTTAGGAACAGCTTCTGAGTCAATACACAAAAGAGGACATAATCAAGACATAAAACTCCTTTATATAATCATATATGCATTTGAATTCATCAAATATTTTATGGGGCCTAAACTCACTTTCAATGCCTAAATGGTGAACAGCTGCCTCAAATTTTTGCCGGAGCTCAGATGTCCAAATAACCCTTGGCCTCTTTAGAGCTGAAGGATCTTCACTATCATGATCATCCCCTTCATCACCTTCTCTCTCGTTTTGATCTGTATGTTTCTTGGTAGATCCAATTTCATTGATGGTAGAAGTACCCTTAGAATCATCCATTCCACAGTTACGCCTATTGTCATCATCACCATGGTTGTTAGAATCCCCATGAGCAATTTTCCCTTTCCTTATGACATGCTGCCATATGTTCTTCAGAACCTCAAACCGAACAGGCTTCAGCAGATAGTCACGAGCCCCACAATTTATGCCCTTCATCACAGCATTTGTGTCCCCATTTACAGATACCACTGAATACAAAGACAATAATGATTTTTCTTTTTCAAGTCTTTCTCAAAATAAGTAATGCATGGCATGCTACAAATGCTTACAAAGTTTGGAGCACTTTTTCTAAGAGGAATACAAAAGATGATTCATGTGAAATGCATAAACTCCAGTGAATGTCCAATTTGAGGAATTTATCTTGAGCAAGACAGAACAAAAATTACATGTAAACTGAGCTTAAAGTTTATAATTCAAGGATAGAAACTGCAAAAATATGGATATCAGTCTGGTAATAAATAATTCATATCAAGTTACAACTGAAGTGTGACTGAAGTGTTTTGCTGGAAGAAAATAAATGGATTTTTCTTTTTCTGAAACAAATGAAAAATTACTGTAAGCAAAAGTCAGCACATACTGATAACAGGTAGATTCATTTCCATTTTCACGAGCTCCAAAAGCTTGAAACCGTCCATGTCCGGCATATGAACATCACTTATCACCAAGTCGAATTCACCCTTCTTCTCCCTCAATAATTTCAGAGCCGTAATAGCATGCCCAGTTATGGTAACTGCAAAAACCAGCAGCCTGATACTAAGAATCTTAAAAGACAAACTTTTAAACTGCAACAGCAAAAGCCAATCAATGGCCTTTTAAAACTTGTAGAACCCCATATTTTTACCTCTACATAGGCCAGTCATAGTTCAATTTTCAGAGAATTCAATATACGTTATAAGAAGAATTCTAGCTACTATAGACAATCAATCAATCTTAATGAAACTAAAGTTGAAAAGATAATTTTCCGTAGTACTATAAATTCGCTCCAGATGCAGTTACAAACCATAGGAATAACCATTAACGCTTCAATAGCCAACAAATTATGTCGATTAATCGGAAATCAACCAATCTACAAATTCCAAAGACTATAAGCAAACCAAAAAGTTTAAAATTCCTAGGGATTCTAAATGGTTTATTTCCAGTGGTCTTACAAGAATCAAACTCTCTTAACCAGCTATGAAGCAGTTAACCAAAACAACAAAAAATAACATTTTATTCAAAAACAAAGAAACCAAAATATAACTCCAACGAGAGAGAGAGAGAGGGGGAGAGAGGAGGGGGAAAAAGACGACCTTTGTATTCGCACCTACGAAGAAGACCCTCCAAAAGCTTGAGGCAAGTTGGATCGTCATCAACTGCAAGAACCCTCAACCCCGCCGGAAAATCACTTTCCCGGCCACTTTCCCGGCCACTTTCCGGCAACATTTTGTCCCCACACTCTCGTTACTCGGCAACCTCTCAAACCCAAAATTCTTCTCTTCCGGAAAACTGAAACAGTGATCCCCTGCTAAAACAAAACAAAAAACCAAAACCCAATTGCTGCAAAACTCTTATATAGCCATAGCTCTAAGCTATGGAGAGATCAAATAACTAAGACAACCCATAAACTGAACAAAAAAACAAACACCTTCTTCAAAGTATATCAAGTATAGTAAATACTAAACACACAAGACTAGAAAAGTAGAGAGACAGAGAGAATCATGGGCATTTAAAACAAATCTCTATTTAGCCATTAAATCGAAGTAGAAGAGTAACCGATAACAGAAACGCAAAAAAGGAAACCCAATCAATCACTCACCCAAAAACTTGGAAACCCATTTATGATTACAGGTCCGAAAATGGAAAGGCTTGAGGTCTATTAACTCCAAGAAAAATTTGGGAAATAAAAGAAAAAAATTGGCTATTTTTCATTAAAGGGGAGAAGTTAACTCGAGTGGGTTTATGTTAAACCGTGGTTGGGTTAAGAGGAACCTGGGTTTTTGTCTCTGGCAAAGGGGCGGGAAACCGGTTCAGATTACCGGCTATAGTGGGTAAAAGGTCGGGCTAAATCACACGTGGCTGGATTTCATTGGAGAGAGAGGGCTACAACAGGTGGGCCCTGGGATGATTCCGGTGAGAGACCAGGAGAAAGGGGTATGGCTTTTGGCGCCTTATGGTGGGAAAATGTTTGATTCTTTATCGATTGCCGACTGTGTGCTCCCGCAAGACAAATCTGTGTATTTAGTCCGTATTTTTTCAAGACTTTTTAATCAATTTATCCGACCTAGCTTTAGGAAGCAACTTTCCCCCAAAAACTGTTTTTCCTCACAAATATCCCTAATACAAAAAGTTTATTTTTTTAACGAAAAGCTAACCGCCTTTTAAAAACGCAATATTGCTCCTTCAAAATGCTAGTACCGTGGCTTCAAAACTTAATCGGAATGCCCCTTTCTCTAATAGCATCATACCCCAACGTCGGATTGCCCATTCTAGAAAAATAATGGCTCGACCGCCTCTTTCAAATGCCTGACCGCCCTTTCCAGCGAAAATAATTTGTTATACAAAGGAAGGGTATTGTCATTAAAAAAAAATTAAATTGTTTGTATGGGGGATAATTTGTTAAAAAACATGGCTTTTTTAAGAAAGTTGTTAGGAAAATTTTGGTTGGGTATATTGCTTAAAATTTGGGATTCTTAGTCGCTGATGTTTAACATCGCTATATCTCAATCTCAATTCCCACCATTGAATTATCTAAAAAAATATTTAATAAAATATCAAATTATCCATAAGAAAAAGAAAATTGTTTCATTTTAGACCACATTTTTACAATATAAAGCCCATAGGTATAAGATGGATGCAAGTAGGTGGTCTATCTAAAAACAATTGTAGCTAACACTCCTAATGTTTTTTTAATATAATTATTATTTTTAGGTTTCAACTTTTTTTGTTCCATATTTATGATCTCCATGTCAAATCTTATATATTCTTTAAAAATTAGGATCAATTTATATTTAAAAAATATATTTATTGTCAAGCCTGCATTCCTAAAATAAATACTTTAAGACTTTATCAATATTTTTTATTTAATTTCAAAATACCCATAAAAAAAACTCATGGTCTTGATTTGGGATGGTTCAAAATACGTAGAATATTAAAGGGAGAAGTTTCTATAGAGCCGAGGCTCTAAACAATCAAATTTTAGTCTACCTCAAAACTTTCACAGAAGAGGTTGTTTTGGTGCCCAAATATCCTCAAATTGATCATCTTGGCATCAAGATGTATGGATATAAGAAAAAAATAGATTTCAAGTTTTGGAAATAGTGCATTTGTAATGCATTTTAAGACTGTTAATTTTTAAAATTTTCAAGTTTTCGTAGATTTGTTTATCCCTATTTTTGAAGCTTTAAACTTTATAAATAAATATGAAAAAATATTTTTAAGGGTATCGTAAAGATTTCCAGTCTTAAAACTACATTTCTCAACACTATTTGAAAGTAGGCTCTAATTTGATTGCCTAGAGCCAAGGCTCCATACAAACCACACCCAATATTAAATAGTTTATCACTTATGAGTGATACGATAAATTTTCCTTAAAAATAGATTTGCAGTTCCAAAATACTCGGAGACTGTCTATAAAGTGTCTATAAAGTGGACAGTTTTTGTTCAATCTTAGGATGTTAGTTTTCTTGGTTACATAGAATACTTGTGATTTTTTAATAAAAAAATTATAATGATATTCTTTAAAATTAGTATTATTTAGAAAAAAGAAGGTTTATATAAGGTTGCAACCTTAAAATGTATAATTATATATGCACCTAAAAAATCCATCGCAAAAGGTTGTTTAAATGTTGAAAAACCCTCTAACCAATCATCTTGACATTGAGATGGATGAATATAAAAAGAAAAAAAAAAAGATTTTGGCTCTTAGAAATAGTACATCTTGCAACACATTATCTAGACCATTCAGTTTTTAATATTTTCATATGTTTATAGATCTACATGATTTTTACCATTTTTAGAGTTTCAAATTTTATAATTGGAGATGAAAATAGATTTTAACATAATCCTAATAATTTCTTACACCAAAATTACATGATAAAATTTGGAGGTGCACTTTAATTGGATTGTTTAAGCTTGCAACCTTATAAAAACCACACCTTTTAGAAAATGTCCCCCATTCTTAATGTTCTATATTCATGTCCCATTTTTATATTTTTTTATTTTTTCTCAAAAAATACATTAGTTTCGAATCATTCACTAGAATTTCAATGAGCAATTTGGAATAAACAGTTCCAATCAAGGTTTAACAAAAGTGGATTGGTGACCCAGATCGGGCACCCAAAAAACTGTCTGAGATCGGTGGATCAACGATTCTTATCAGAGAATCAGCTGGATCAGCCGGTTGTGGGTTCAAAAGAATTTAAAAAATCACTAAAAATCCCGAAAAACAGTGTTTGTCGAGTTTCAAATAAATTATAAGTTTGTTACATTATGTAATTTTCTCATTTGCAAAAATACATTAATATGGAGATGTTTCCATGTATGAATGTATGTATACTTATATATTAATATAATGATATTATATTAAACATGATTCAAAAAAATACTAAAAAACACTTCCATGTTATAATTTTATTTTTTTATTTTTTATCTTTTTTTAAAAAAAAGAAATTTATAATGTAAAATTAGTATCACATCATACATCTGTAAACTACGTCTACTCATAAAAAATTATCATAACCTAACCAACTATAATATTAGAATGATTCTTTTAGATTTTATAATTATTTTACTATTCAAATAATAATAAATTTAAACTATGTTTTATAATAACATCTCATTTAAGAAAATCTTATATACAACTATAACAAAAAATACATTATGTCATTTCAATATAAATAAATGAATAAATAAAATACAATATTTTGTTATTAGTGCATATTTATTAATCACAATATTATAATATTACATCAAACATAATTCAAAAAAATATTGAAAAACACTTCCATATTATAAGATTTTTAAAAATATAAAACCATTTATAAATTTTTATATTATGACATTAAAAAATATTAAAAAATGATTTTTTCACTAACAAATAAAAAATAACTAAATAAAATTTGAGATAATTTAAAAAAAAAAAAATAATTGAACATCAATAAACGATATGTATGTATCAAAACTCCTGCATTTATTCAGGAAATTATTAGTTTTCTAAACATGATTTTTCAAAACCCCCCAAAACCGGTTTGCATTATGGCTCAAAATATAAATTTGTAATCAGATTTTAATAAAAATAAATAAATAAACAAATTTATTTTTGCATGAGTTACTATTATTTACAACGTTTATTACGCTATTGGCTTCATTTATTCACCCGTAAAAGTGGTAGAGACGCCTCCATTTTAGTCACCCCGTCTAAAAATGGTAGTGAGAACAAGTAGGACTTGTTCCGCATCGAAAATTGAAGGCATACAAAGCCGTTATAAAAGAAATGTCACACTCATCTCGAACCGTATGATGGTACACTCATCTATGGATCAATGAGTTCCACATATGATTTGGAAGTACACAAAGATGTCAAATGTATTTTTTTACCTTGTGCAGTTTCAAACTAATGGTTTTTTACTGTTTTGAAAATTACTACGAGTGCTTGGGGCACTTTATTCCTCACATCAGCCGTTGACAAATAATTCCAATCCACTTTAGTTTCTAACAGTTAACAATAGTTCAAAAAGTACCAAAAAGACACGAGGATCAATCGTAAAATATGAAGCAAAATGATTAAGTAGGTATTAAATGTTAGTGTAAACTTTGCTGTTTCTTGAATTTACATGTCCGATTCCTCCCTCTTAGGTCCTAAAATAACTCTTAAGTAGGTATGTGAATATATTGCATTTAGCGGCAAGTGCTCAATCCATGATCATCGCTCTTGATAACCATATAAATTTCATGCTGATTACTCTCATCACATTTAGTCTTGGTAGTCCATATCAAAGGAAATTACTGCAAAATCATAGGGAAATGTTAATCCCAAATTTAATATATATATATAGGATAAATTTCAACGTTGACTTTTTAACAATGAAGAACACCAAGTGAAGCGAGCTTTTAAAAAAAAAAAAATGTTTGGGTAGATCAATAGGAAAGGTTTCCTACCCATAATAGAAATGAAACTCAATACGCCATCTTGTAGCACCCCACCATCTTGACCACGCATGCATAACTCCATTCCTAATGCCAAGGGACCTTTGTCCGATAATTTGGGAAGAAGAAAAAGATATTACTATTTTTGCTTTGGAGAAATACTAGGTTTTCTTTCATGTTCTTTCCAAAATCATAATCTTTTGTAAGGTATAATCTTGTATTTATATAGAGAGAGAGGGAGAGAGAGGGGTTCTAGGTTCGACCTCATTGGATGAGAAAAAGTAATGCTTAACTATGGAAATATTATTTTCTTTTTTTTGTTTCAAGAATCAAAAGGAGATGAGGCATATGCAAAACACACTAAACATAAATAATATATGTGCAAGGCCACTTGCAATGCCGTTTGTACTTCACACGTTGGCAAGTGTTTACATGATGTGGATGGAATTCTTTTCCAGAAATAAACCGTAGATCGCCCCTTTTCAAGTACTTGAAAAACTTTTATTGCCTGTCCCATTTCATGCACCAATTTCCCAAGAGAAAGAGCCATCTTACCAAACAATCTCAAGAGAGATTAATTTTTATCATCCAGAAGAAAAATGAAAAAAATACAAAATGGAAAGAAAAAAAGAGGAAAATTATGTACAAAATGGAAAGATAAAAGAGGAAAATTATGACTCCATGATGAGATGAAGAACATGATAAACATGAAACCTAAATTAAATAAATCAAAAGAGAGATTCACATCTACATGAGATTTGGGTGAAGAGGGGGGCTCGTGTAACAGTGCAAGAGAGAGGGTCTACCGCTTTGATGGGGAGACTAAATGGGAGTGTATACAAATGTACTCTCGTGTACACACACTGTACACTTGCTCTCTTAGACAAAAGAGTTACTAAGAGGATTTCTTTCAACCAAATTTTGGATTTCACTTCAGAGCACGAAAGTTATTTAAACAATAATAATAATAAATTTAGATATTGAGTTCTCAAACAGTTCGATAAAACCGTCCAAGAATTAGATGGTCAGGCAGGTATATAGTGCCGATGATTTTCCTCTAAGAGACTAGTTGCCCGGTTGAAGAGGTTACATTCTCAAAATTTGGGATCACAAAACTACTCCAAAATGAGGTATTACTTGAGGGAGTGAATGAAAGATATGCTCCTGAGGGAGCATGGAATCTTTCAGCATAAACAAAGTCCTTTGATGTGGAACTCAAGTGGTTTGAAAGCGAATTTTTTCTTAATTTAGAAGAAGAGAAGTACTTCCCCAATAATGTTAAAGGTTATAGAAAGAAGCCAACAATTTTGAAAAAAAACTTACCTAACATAATGGTTTCTAGGTTCTATAGGGAAACCCAAAGTTTCTACGATTTTTAGGGTGTATAAAGAAATTATTCTTTTTTTTTGGGTAGCTCGAATCGAATTTGAGAAACCAATTTAATTTTGAGGAAGAACTTCCCTACCGACTTATTAAATTAGCCTTAAGAGGCCAAAAAAATATCAAAGTTATCAAAATGCATATTACTCACCAATTATTTGACATTTTACTTAATTCTACTATTCCAACTCCTTGTATTTTGATGATTATTTTAAAATGGAAAAGTTTTATATAAGGTTGCAACCTTAAAATGTAGAATTAAAGATGCACCTTAAAAATCTATCATAAAAGGTAATTTGGATGTTGAAAAACCCTCTAATTGATCATATCGACATCGAGATGTATGAATGAAAAAAAAAAAAGAGATTTTGAGAACGTGAAATAGTGTATTTTGCAACACATTATCTGGACCGTCCATTTTCAAGATTTTCATGTGTTTATAGATCTACTTGATTTGAACCATTATTAGAGTTAAAATTTTATAATTAAAGATAGAAAATAGATTCTCAAACCATCCTAATAATTTTATATATCAAAATTACATTTATAACAAAATTTAAAGTTGCGCCTTAATTGGATTGTTTAAAGTTGCAACCTTACGCAAACACCCTTTTTAAATTAAAAGAAATAAATAATTAAATATAAAATAATTTATCTCTTTCGATAAATTCCCCCAAAATCCATTTCACAGAACTCTTAAACAAAGTGTTCATGCTTATATGGTTGGATACATCTTCTTCATATATTCATAAACATTTGCAATGCATTTCTTTCTTTTGATAAATACATCTGCAATGTTGTGGCATATAGTATCCAAAATAACACTGGAAACCCATAAAAAGACCATTTACATAACAAACATAGAGTTTGTCGAATTTTTATGCTGGTCTACTACACCGCTGAGCCCATATTCCATGCACTAATCTTGGAAATATTTATAGCAACTGATCCATAATTAAAGGCATAAAGGTGGGCATCCTCTCCTATGGCCAGCTCCGGATAAACTCTTGCAGTTATGCAAGTCCTTCCACCACCTCCAAAGCTCTCCACGATGGAATGATCAACCTGTTACTCAATAGGTTTGTTTATCAATTCTTATGTTTAGGTACCATAGTCAATCTTTCAAAAATCAGAGTCAAGCTCCAAATTGGCAGGATCTAAGTTTGAGTCACGGTCTGAGTCCCCTTAGTCCAATTGGGCGATTTTGATTCAGACTAGATTCTAATTAATAAAAAGAAAAGAAAAGAATACTAGACCACGGGAAAAGCCGACTCTAATTAGTTGGAAAAAGACTTTGATGATGATGATTAGAACATGGGAAGACCCAGACTGATTCTAAGGTGTTTCGGCTTGGAATTGCTAGCTTCTAAGGTGTTTAGGCCTGGAATTGCTAGCTTCTCAATATGCTTTTTGAAACATTGCCTTGTATTAAGTTTAGTCATTTTCTGATAATAATTTTGCTAAAAACGACCATTGAGAAATTGAAAGGTACGCATCATGTGCACCAACCGTAGACTATATACAGAAGCAACTAACCGTTGGACATCCGTAAACGAAATGGACCATGGAGATGAATCTCTATCGGATGTGGCTGAGCTGCGTACGCACTTCATCTTCACCATTAGTATACTAAAACGACTGGTGGATCTACTAGGGTGTATCGTAGCCTACCAAGGTGTACCATAGCAAAAAAGAAAAGATGTACTTGGGTGTATCATAGCCTACCAAGGTCCGTAAGAAGATCTTCCCGTCAGCCAAGTCAACATCCACAAAGCCTCCATACGGTGTCTTGTCCAGCTCTTTCCCGAGAGAAGACCTGTTTTCATGAAAAGTGGGTTAGAAACTATTATTAGCAAGAAACTATCATTAAATTCAGGAATTTATACAATGAGATTCTTTATTTATTATATAATCATTGACCATCAGATTTGATCTCGAGTGCTTGAAGATGTGTAATTGTTTGGGCATAAAATCCAAATAAAATTTCTCCAATGTTGTGACACATTTTCATATAATGGACTTCACATCCAACGATTAAAAATGATTTGTGCCACAAATAAATGGCTCATAGTATACAATGTCTGAAATCAATTATTAAAGCAAAAAGAAAAGATGACAAGGGAAAGCCAAAGTTCACAACAACAAAAAAATAAGAAAAAAGAAAAGAAGGAAAGAAGAAAGGAAAAAAGATACTAGTAGTCAAACTAGAACATGATATCAGAATCGAATCAGCCACCCAAGTGGTTGGGGATCCAGTTTATCAAACTGGTCCAACTGCAATAAATTGGTTAAATTAGATTTTTTTAGAAAATAAAGAACATGTAGGAATAATAGCATAAAAAACGTCAGCCTGGTTTTACCTTATCCAATCAATAAAAAAAGGGAACAATCGGACAGACTAATTCGGTTAAAGAGAAGTTCATGGATTAGGACAAACTACAATATCTAAGAAAAAGTTAGAAAAGCCAAAAAATTAAAAATAAAATAAAATAGGGAGGGGGGTTATTTAGGGGGAGACTGGTGTATTTTCGGTTCCTTCTCAAAACCGATCGGGTAGGGTATGATTCCTGATCGAAATTAGGTAATTTCCGATAAAACATTATTCCAAACTCTGATTCAAATACTCGAAACACTGATTCAAACACTCGAAGTTTGTCCCAAAAAAAAAATTCCAAGCAAACTAACCTGCCCTTTTGTCTCTTGTACTTCGGCTTAGGTTCTAATGACAAGAGATCTCAATTTTGAGCGAGGGAGGTCACTGCCTAAGTTTGTCAAGAAAAGAAAAGAAAAAAAAAAAAAAGAAGCCAAAAAGGCCAATATGGCTCTTTTTTCAATACAATAAGCTAGGTATTTTTCGTCCAGGAATAAAGCTAAGATGATGATGATAAACGAGAAAATCATATTAAGTAGAAAACAATAGGCACTTGTTAAATGATGCCATGCCATTGGAGTGATAAAAAATGCAATGGAAGTGATAAAAAAGCCAATGCGATGAGGAACAAATACTTTGTCGGTGGTGCAAGTTAAAAGATACTTTTAAGTCTACCCCTAATAAACAAAAGTATATTATCCCTTGTCCAATTATTTGGGTAAGGAATTGAGAAATTCAAACTCTAACTACCATGGCAATTATTAAAAGTTATTAAAAATATCATTCAGGGGGTCACAAAATCATCAAGAGGTCCAAGAGTTCTCAATTAACAACAGGGTTTGGTTTTAAATGTTTATTTCACTTCCTCGAAAAATATCTTAACGGAAAACCCAATTACCCTTGTTCACAATAGGGAACTTGCACAAACATTGGCGTTTTAATAATTTGACACACCCAAAACAAGCAATGACACTTCCGTTTGGTTGGGGCCTCTCAGGTGGGTCAAATTACTCAAACGCCTTTACATTTTTAAGGTTCCAAACTCCGAAAATGAGCAATTCAGACATATTTCAAAATATTTTTTGAGGGGTACGGAGTGAAACAACTTAAAAAGTAATTCCTCTAATGTCGATTAAGGTATGGATACGGTTTATATGAATCCATGTAGAAATGAGTCATCTCTTAATAATCTATTTTTGACATGGATTTGTGGATTTAATTTTTAAGGATATGTAATCTTTAATATGGAGATCATGAATATGAAAAAATAAATAAATTTTGAAAATTAAAAATAATAGTTCTATTAAAAAAATATTTGGACCGATAGTTTCAATTGTTTTTAGAGGGATCACCTATTTGTATTCACCTTTAAGATGGATGCTTTATACTTTGGGACCGCATATTGTAGATATGCGGTCCAGCTTAAATGAAACAATTTTCCTTAAGATATTCTATAAAAGTTACCACCAAATGTCCAATTACTTGCATATAATATTGAGATTATTTCAAACTTTACCTTCTTTGGTCACTGCACATTAGGACCATGGTCTTGTTCCTTGAGGGAGACTTAAAGACTCGAAAGAAGACAGCAGTGTGCTCTTCCAAATTCTTTGAGGCCAAAACCAACAAACCAAAAGGCCCAATTCCACTCCTCATAGATGTTCCCATCTCACTACAAGCCAGTTGTGGGCTGTTAAACCATTTCTCCTCTAAAATTTCCACATTTTCTTGGTTCATTGGATTAGACTTCAAGTCGAATGTTACTTCCACGTCCACCTAAATGGAACCCCACAAAATTAGCCAAGCATTTGATTCATTTAGTTTTGGAGTTTGGAAACTTGAAACTCAAAGACTTAATATCCAACATGTTTGATTTGGGTAGAGTTGATTTGAAACGGATTGCGAAAAATCGCCAGACGAACCCAGGAGTCACCGGAGCTAGCCCTGATAGGAATAGGAAGCCAAGCGATTATGGGCTGGAAAATTCAGGAATCACCAGTCTCCCTCTTTCATTACTTTTTAAAATTCTTATTTAAAATTTTCCCAAGCTAACTTAGTCGGTGGTACTTTGGCTCGGGCTTGGGCTCCTAGTGAGTTCATGCCAATCCGAATTTTCAAACATTGATCAACCTAGGAGTTAACCAATGTTTTAAGAAAAATTGAGCGACTTCGACTTGGAGCACGATGCTAGTGCAAAGAACAAGGAATAGCTCCAATTTTCTCCCAGTTTTCTATTTTTTATTTTCTATAATTTGTTTTGTTTCCACCCATCCGGGATAGCGCGAGCTGGACCAAAATCACTTATCCTTCTCGGTTCACCAGACCATGGTTGTTATTTGTTACAATATTAAATAGATGTGGAAATGGGTTGGGTTGGGTGTCCCAGGCAGGTCTGGCCCTAAAAAACCAAGTCCTAGGCTCCAAAAAGTGGTCCAAGGGCTGGGCAGAGCCAGGCTGAGGCCTGGGCTATACAAAGTAGATCCAGTTCGGCCCAGCTTGTCCTTAATAGGACCAGGGCTGGGCCCAAGCGTCTTTGGCCCAATCCAGGTCAGCCTTATGGGGACCAAGGTAGGGGGGGTAGGGCCAGGCTAGGCGCTGCTTATTGGCAACATGTAAGCCATTAGCTCAATTAAGGAAAGAAAGACATTCCATACTAGAAAAACTGAGTGAGAGAGAGAACCCAAGGTAGAGCCAATCTAAGGTGGAAAGTGCCATGACATTTTGAGTTTTATTCTTATAAATTCCTGTTTTAATATTAAAAAAAAAAGAAAAAAAGACTTAAATGTAACCCATAAATAAAAATAATTTTTTAAAAAACGGAGAATGGCGAGTCGAACCTGGGTAGCCTTCACACCAGGAACCTCGACAATTGATCCACTGTTGAGCTTCCTTTGGATTATGTCAACTCTCTCCCCACGTAGAGTCTCTAGCTCAGCGACAGGCCACTGCACCAGTTGTCGCCCTGTTTTATCTAACCACACGCTCCTTGGTATGCCCTTAAAAGCAAAAGGTTAGGAAAAAGATGACTAATTAGATCACTAAAAAGTCCATCATTAAAAAATAAAAATAATTAATTTATAAAAAGCCTTAGAGTACCTCATCATTAAAAAATAAAATAATTAATTTATAAAAAGCCTTAGAGTACCTAGACTCAACATCCACCATCCATATTTATCCAGGAATTGTATTGTGGGTGATGAGTCCTCACCTACTTTTATGGTCGCCTAATTTTATTTTATTTTTTTGGTCAAAACAGTTCCTCAGCTCGACTGCCCACAGAAGCATGAGCGATATACTACTATAGTGTATATTTTATGGTTTTGTATAGAAAAAGTTATTTAAAAAAAAAAATATCTCTAGGAGTGGGTGAGAACTAGGGCAAAATAAAAGGTCTGGGAACCGGCAGGTAACTTACCTGCCAATTTTTTAAACACTGATTTAAGGAATGCGTTACTACAAAAAAAAAGCAAAGTTCACTATACACCATACCTGGACCCCAGACCACCCTTTCTTCACATCGTCATGCACACTATCAGACTCATTGATCCACCCCCACAAAATTCTCCTTCCTTTTCCCCCTTCATAAAATGTCTTTGAAGCATAAAACTTCCCATAATCAAACCTTAATCCGGATCCACAGTCTACGAACTCCTTGTCCGGCTCGTATTTATCCTTCTCTAGTACATAATGCCCCAGTGTATAATACTCAGTCTTCAAATCATCCAAACTTACCTGCAACATATTTGCATAAATCAACATTTGCTTTTGCTTCAAATCAGACAGACCTCTTTTTCCCTTTTCTCTCTCTGTTTTTTTCTTCTGTTTTTAAATATATATTTAGCGATTTTTTAAAGGAAAAAAATACGGTTACACACGATGTGTATAGTATAGCATTGTTACAAGCAGTCTAATCTCATTGAATGGATGATCGAAATGATCAGCACACCCATGTATTCATCTCTGTTGTCATGTCGATCGCAGACAATCAATGAGGGTGCGTGCACTACATGCTATACATGTTGAGTACATATTTCTTTTTCTTTTTTGGGTGATGTATGTATCATAGTTAGCAATACTCCATTTAAAACATTTTTTTTTTTTTAAAAAAAAAAGTATGTTCCATTGAGAAACTTTTTGAAAGGTGGGATCTTAAAAATTTACTTCAAGAAACAAAACAAAAACATACGAAAAAACAAATAAAAATATGGAAATATACACAATAAGACTATTTACTTTTTGTATAAAGAGATAACAATCATTTCTAGCAGATAGATTTGAAATTGAAAGGTTGGGAGTGTGCTACCAACCATGCTCAAAGTTCAAAAAAAAATTCTCGCATTTTATGACATACTCTAACTTATATGAATTGATATTGGATGGCCAGGATTAGTTATTAACCTGCTTATTCCAAAGATAAATGGTCTCATGGTATACAATTCTCAAAAATATAATCGTATTATATCATAATTCAAATGGTTGGGATAAGCCTCAGATGATAATTATGATATCATAATTCAAAGATGTTCTAAACAAAAGTGGAAATTGCCCAAGTTGTATTATATAACTTAAATGTCTCTTGGGTGGTTGGGTCAAATCCCACTTAACCCCAAGGTTTAAATGGGGCTTTGAATATTTCATACACTGTATGTGCATAATTTATAATGCTCTACAAGCCCAAGTTTGCCACACCACAAACATCGATCAATGTCCTTAGATTGATGTCTTGGCGATTAGATGATTAATCACACCCTCTAAAGTCCACACACATCAATCGACTATAATTAGTTGATGTTTTGCCTCAGATTTGGAGGAAGCTGAGACAAATGAGCATTTGTTCTTGTACTGTGCTTTTGCCTCTCAGATTTGGGAATGGGCCTTTAGGAAGATGGGAATCTCTTTAATGTTGCCGGGAATCTTAACAGGGATTTTGGATCTCCTTAATCTGCCAGGGTTGGCTAAAACTGGAATTTTTTCCTGGAAGATTTTTAGGGGAGCTATGGAAAAGATAGAAATAAGAGCGCTTTTGAAGGACTGATATTGAAGATGCGGAGTGTTATATCCAAAATCCTTTGCTTTTTGTTGAGGGTTTTTTTGTATGAAAAAACGAAGAGGTGTTTATTAACTTAGATGAATTGTTTTTACAATCTACATCCTACCAATAGATGGAAAATATCAACTATGGAGTGTTTTAAATTAAATTTTGATGGCAGCTCCCAAAAAATCCAGGCTTGGCACATGTGGGGAGATCTTGAGAGACTATAAAGGTAATATTTTTCTTTCCTATGTTGGTCCGTTTGGTAACGCCATTGCAAACCATGCAGAGCTTAATTCTTTGCTACAAGCTCTTAAGCTTTGCTCAAAGATGACGAGGAGGGAAAACCATAGTAGTCGAGGGAGACTCGCTTAATGCCATAAGGTGGTGTACAAGGAAATTGAAAGTACCGTAGATGCTAAGGACTGATTGGTTATAGATTATGGACATTTGTAGAACAATGAATGTGTCCTTCGCTCATGTTCATCGACAACCAAATCAGATGGCAGATGCTTTGGCGAAATATGGCTGTGGTTTACCAAATATTGTTGTCTCTGAGACTTTGTTAACTGATATGTAACTTGCTTTTTATCCCGATTATCAATAAAAGTCATAAACATCGTCAAGAAAAAAAAAAAAAAAGTGGTTGTTTTGGGTATGGTTAGTTAAATTAGTGGGTAGAAAATCTACCTTTAGAACTCAAACATTAGTAGAAAGTTGAAACTAGTGACTTAAAAATCTCTTATTCATCTCTGAATTGTCTCAAAGCGTATTGGGAATTGGGATTGGTGGTGAGCGGTATTCAAAGAACCCCTTAATCGTCTGATCTTTCTAGCCTTTTGAGGGTTGGCAATAGGCCGGGCCTGGGCCCTCGCTCTAGTCCGGCTTCATCCAAGTAGGGGCAGCCCAAGGCTAGTCCGACCTCAAGAGGCCCATGGCCAAACTAGACCAAGCCGAGTTGACCCTGTCATGCTCCAGCCCAACTCTTGGGCCACTATGGCCCTGCCCTTGGGTCACATTTTGTGGATCAAACCTTAGTTTTTAAGAGCCGGGCCGGACTTGGTTTCTAGCCCATTGCCAGCCCTACGATTTATTTTTAGTTCATTCATTCACTATATAGCCCAATCCCACCATGGTATCGGTTGATGGTGAATACAAATTAGACCCTAAAAATTTAGGGTTTGACTTTGATTTTTAATCATGAGCAAAACCTTAAGGGCATGTTTGTTTTTTTGAAAGATATCTTTTGGAAAGTTGAATGTTTTTAAATATTTTAGAAAATTGAATGTTTTGTTCTTCAAGGTTTAAATAAATTCTGGGTACTGTGTTTGATAACCTATTGAAATGTTAAGAAAG